AGATCTCACGTCTCTTGGAAATGGGAGTGTTGGAAGAACCCAGTGCAGAAGATTTGGAGCAAGGGGTGATTCTCTCAACCCGCAGTGTCATGGACTGGAGAGTGCGTGATCAAGAATGGCAAAGGCGTTGCAGGTTTGTGGCAAGGGAGTTCAAGGGCACTGACCGTGGAACCTCTGCAACATTTGCGCCCACTTCAGGGATTGGAGCCCGTCTACTGCTGATAGCACATTGCTGTCTGGGATGGTTTCTGAGTTTCGTGGACATCAAAGATGCCTTTTTGCTGGTGGACCAGCGTGAGCGCATTTTGGTTCAGAAGCCTACGTGGTGGCGCATGGAGGAGTCTGCAGAGCAAAGCAACTTTTGGAGTTTGCGCAAGTGCCTGCCTGGTCAACGCAATGCAGCCTCAAGGTTCTTTGACTTTTTGGCTGAGCACCTTCAGTCATTGGGTTTCAAAAGCACAATGCTACTCTCAAGCCTGTTTAGGCACACAGAAAGGAAGCTCATGGTTTGTTCTCACGTGGACGACCTCGTCTTGTGCGGTGAGAAGGAAGATTTGGAATGGCTGGCTTTGGAATTGAGAAAACGGTTCACTTTGCAAGGTGGTGAAATCTTACCCCGTCCTGACCAAGATCCCAATGAACCAATCAGATTCCTCAAGAAACGTCACTTTTTCACCAAGGCGGGGATTGTGATCAGCCCGCACGAGCGATACAGTGAGGACCTCCTGAAGCTCTACAGCCTGGAAGGGAGGAAGCCCAAGTCCACTCCTGATGTGTCCTACGAGAACTATGACTCGCGAGAGTTGGACGACGCTGGCAAGCACAGATTCCGATCTGCAATGGGTACGCTCTTATACTTGAGCCAGGATCGACCAGATCTACAACATGCAGTTCGCCATCTCAGTCAGTTCATGGCGAAACCAACAGCTGCAGCAGAAGCAGGAGTCAAACATGTGATCCTGTACCTCAAAGGAACTCCTGACCTTGGAATTTTGCTTGGGTATCAGGTGCCAAGCAACAGCAAGCTGGATGAAGTACGAGGTGATCCTGGAACTTTGGAAGCTGGAACCCATTTGGTAGAGGCATTCACAGATGCCGATTGGGCCGGTGACAAATCAAGTGAGACCCGGAAACGCCACTCAGTTTCCTCAGCGATGGTCTATGTGAACAATCGCCTGGTTAGCTCATGGTCGAGGACGCAGAAAAGCATTGCTCTTAGCAGTTGCGAGAGCGAGTACCTGTCAGCGGTGAGTGGAGGAGCTGAAGCCCTCTATGTGTCCCGTCTTTGGTCCTTTTTGGTGGAAAAGGAAGTTCAGGCCAAGATCGTCACGGACTCATCTTCCTGCAGAGCTTTTTCGCAGAGGCAAGGATGGCCCCAACAGCAGATCAAATCTGGAAGTTTGGAGATGGATGGTGTGGCGACGGTGCTGAACATCTCAGACCTTGGAACAAAGAAGCTGACAAAGGTGAGGCGATGTTTCTTGATGTACCTCATAGGCCTGGTGGAATTCGACCCCAACACGAAGTCCTACGTTCCGGCTGGAGAAGATGAATTCAATGTCTTCATGCAGAAGAAGTACATGGGTCAAAGCATGAAAGTGATTCGCCGAGTGGTTCTCAACACGTTGGCAGATGGTGCTTCGGAATTTCCAGTTCCTGTGGCGAAGCCTTTGGTGAAAGCGCTGACCATTCTTTCGCTGCAATCCGTGGTTGGTGGCTCGCGAATGGAGGAAGCGAACTATGAGGTGATGGTTCGCAACTACAACTTGGTGGAGATCTTCGCGGACTTCCCTGGCTTCATGATGGTGTATGCCCTGGTATTCTTCATGGTTGGTTTGGCCTGCGGATTCGCTCTGAAGAAGGCCACACATCGATGGCAGCTCTCAAAAGTGCTCGACTGGGCGATCGAACAGATTGGAAATCGCAAGGAGATCACCTACGTGGATGACTGGGATCCTGAAAGACATGAACTTCGACAGTTCCGAGTGCTGAAGCATGTGGATGATGCAGAGAGCGGAGAAGAATACTTCAGAGAAGTACCTGGTGGCATGGCGAGATTCGTGAAGCTGGATCGAAGGAGACGAGCTCATCATGGATTTGCAGAGATTGATGTCATGAACGCCTACGACCTCTCAGACGGCGAGAACGCCGAGGAAGAGCCTATGGAGATCGATGAGGAGGAGACCAATCTTCCGCCGGTGGCGGCATTATCCGCTGCGATGGCTGAGGCGGATCAACATGGACATGCAGGTCAAAGTGCTGGAAGCCAAGATCACGTGTCTGACAGCAACACACGTGAGTATGTGGACCTGCCTGGTTCGCCGGAGAGCGATCATGTTCCTCCTACTCTTCTTTGGTGGGCGTGGACTGGAATGACAACGAGGAGATCATGCGGCACTATCCTCGCATCGAGCGTGAGAGAGCCTTACGTGTACAGCAAGTAGGAATGTTCAATAGCGCGGTGTTTCAAGAGTACTTAAAGGTTCATTTAATGACCTTGTACCCCAATCAACCGGACATGCTATGGGATTTTCCAGCGTTCTGGACTCAGAACGAAAGGCATGGTTTCACAGTGTTTTGTGACATCATCACCCGTGGAAGGTATCTCAACAACTTTGGAACATTTGTTGAACAATGGTTCATTCAGGAGGAATGGCAGAATAACATTCCTGGTCCCGAGATTCCATGGAGTGATGAATAGCAAAATTGCGCCTCAAATCGACACAATTTTGAGGCGGGGTGTTAGATCTTATCCATGCCTGCACCGCAGCATGGATGACACGCACAAATCATAGAAGTGTCATGCAGGAATTGCACAGGTTACTGCATAACATATGCAGATGGACGCCGCTACAAGTGGCTCAATTGCCTGGAGAAAAGGAACGCATTTGCTGTGCTCCGCCATTCAACACAGGCCATAGATGTTGCCTTTCACACGGTATAGTGGAGTGCGGAACGTCTTTGCCATCTTGGTGACTTCGTCCTGCGGTGGTAGCAGAAACAAATCTTCAGGTCGTTCTGATTTGTCTTGAGCGCCCTGCAAGAAGGCTGTGCTTACGTCTCCGGCCCAAAGTATCCAGCGAACTGGGTCATTTTCCATGATGCCATTCTTGCCAGCTATGAAGATCGCCAACAAGATGTACTCTGAAGTTCTTGATGGTGTCGGAGAGTCTCGGCTGAGGCTTGCTAGGTCTAGATCCAGGTGGCCAAGGGCGACCACTCTAGTCTTTGCCTGAAGTCTGCCTGGAATTTTGCTCTTGTTCCTATAGCATGCTCTGCTCCGAAGGACTCTCTTTTTGGTTGGAGGATTTGATAGGATCTTGGCTGCTGTCTCGGCTGAGACTTCTTCCATGGAGCCCCAACTGAGCCAGCTTTTCTCTTCCTTCTTGGCAGATTCAATGTACGCGTCGATCTGCTCGCGTGGAAGCTTGATGATGTTGCGCCAAGGTATCTCTCGTTCAAGTGTCTTGCCGCTGGTTCCTTCTGCTTGTCCTCATCGGAGGTGTTGGATGCATCAGATTCACTCTGCATCCCTGTGAGGTCTGTCTCCAAAACTGCAAATCCTTGTTGCTGTAGAAGACATGTTGCAGGCTTGGCAAACCCCGTCGAATGCTTGCAGTTGTGGACATTGGTCTCCGGTGAACCATCCCATGAGTGATGTGGTGGTTCGACTTTGCCATGCATTTGTGTTAGCATTGCGTCAAAGTTTCTCTTTTGTGGTAGTTGTGGAAGAGGTTGGTCGCCTGTGGGATCAATTGTGTCGACCTCAGCGATCTGTTGTTGTAGTGTAAGGGTAGGTTGGCTTGTACTTGATTGTGGTAGAGAAGGCGGTAGTTGTGGTGGAACTGGTGCTTCTATTGGAACTGGTGGTTCTACGGAATGTTGTGATGGTGTCGATATTGGTGTGGTTGGAGTCAGGGGAGTCGATTGTGGTATGTCCTGTGGTGCCTCGTGTGTTAGTGCGGTTGGCTGTGTAAAGGTTTGTTGGACTGGGAATGGTGTCTCCTCTGATATGTCTGTCTGTTGGTCAGGTGCTGGCGTACCTGGTGCTGATAGGTCGTATGGTGCTGATTCGTATTGTCTGTGTTGTTGTTCTTGCTGTTGTGTGTTTGCGTTGTCTGCTGTCGTTGTTGTCTGCTGGGTCTGAGGTGCTGCTCTGGGTGTTGCTGGCTGGCTTGTTGCTCTGTTTGTTGGTGTGCGTGGTGCTCTGCCTGTTGGAGTTCTAGATCGTGCTCTGCGGGTGAGTCCATATCGACTGGCATTGTAGTCGAGATCTGTGATGCGTCGTGTTGTATCGTGTAGGTTCTGTGTAGAGGTTGGTGGTCCTGCTGTTACTTGTATGTGAGTCGGTGAAAAACTGTTGATGTTTTCGGTTGTGGTGTTACGTTGCTGCTGTCGCAAGTTGAGCTGTGGCGCTTGTGGGTTGGTTTGCCTGCTTGATTGTTGAGGTTGCTCTGATGGAGGTGCTAGTGGTAGTACTGGTTGTGGAGGTTCTGAAATTGTTGTAGCGGGTTGTGGAAGGTGTTCAAGTGCATGGGTAGTTGTATTCATCTTCGTCTTGTGGTGGTGGTGTGGTTCTGTGGTCTTGCCATAGATCTTGTCGAATGTTTGATGCTGCATTCCGGAGTGTGTTGATGTCCTCGATGGATGGTTGCCACCGCTCAAAACCATAAGCGCCTCTGAGCTGTTCCAATGACACCTGCAAAGTCGTGGTGCCAGAGTGCAACCAAGCTGACCGTCCATCGGGATCATAGGATAAAAACCTTGCCACGACCCATGCTCCTCTCTTCTTCGTGGATCTTCCGCGAGGGTTCTGCCATCTCCAGTATGCACAGTTCTGTCCTGGCAGTAGTTGATTGTGGTGTGGAGTGGCTGTCTTGCGAAGTAGTGCCCGTCGTAATGACTGGCTTGTGTTGATCTCAGCAAGGGCCTTCATGGCTTCAGCTCTGAGAATGTCAGCTCTCACGGCCCCATGTAGGCCCCCACCAACTCGTGGAATCTGTCCAAAAACTGCCATGTATTGTGGTCTTCCGTGAGAATATGTCATGGAGTTGAGGGCATGGACTGCTGCTTCAAGGGCCGCATCAAAATCATCAGAGGTCATAACGGCCTCAGAGTCAATGATGCGCTCTAGAATGTCACGCAACACTGCATTGCGCATTTCAATAAGGCCAATTCTCCAATGTGCTTCTGCAGGAACCACTTCCAAGAGGATGCCTCGGCGCTCAACGTAGTCTCTGAAATGCTTGGCATATGAAGCTCCAGGGTCAACTCTGATGGTCATTGGAAAGCCGTAGGGCTTAAACCAAGTCTTCCTGAAAATGTCAAGCATGGTCTCGGAGAGGGTGTCTGGCATCCTGGTGGCTTGGTGCAGCAGTGTTGATTGATCAATGATACCAACCACTGCATAGTTGACTCCAAGGACGTCCCTGCAGTAAAACACGTCGCTTTGGAGATTGTCGTTGAACTGGCCCATGTTGGCAACTGGCATTGCGCTTGGTCTAGGTTGTTGGTGCTTCTTGGTTCTTTGACAACTGGCGCACTGCATGTGTTTGACGGCTGATACCATGTGTTTGCTGACAGCTCCCTGCCATGCTAGCAGTCGAAGTAGTTCTTTCTCAGTTGGATGTCCCAAATTGAGGTGTAGACGTCTCACTGCCGCCAAAGTGTCTTGTGGAACGTCTGCTGGGCATCCTGGAAAAATCACAGTAGAGAAAGATTTTACCCATATACTTTTCACCCAGAGACTCTTCACCCAGAAACTCTTCTTGCACAGACTTTTCACCCAGAGACTTTTCACCCAATTTTTTTTTTGCACAGACTTTTGACCCAGAGACTCTTCACCCAGAAATTCTTTTTGCACAGACTTTTGACCCAGAGACTTTTCACCCAGAAACTCTCCACCCACAATTTTTTCTTGCAGCCATATACTTTTCACCCAGAGACTCTTCACCCAGAAACTCTTCACCCAGAAATTCTTCTTGCACATACTTTTCACCCATATACTTTTCACCCAGAGACTCTTCACCCAGAATTTTTTTTGCACAGACTTTTCACCCAGAGACTTTTTACCCAGACACTCTTCACCCAGAAACTCTTCTTGCACATACTTTTCACCCATATACTTTTCACCCAGGGACTCTTCACCCAGAAACTCTTCTTGCACATACTTTTCACCCATATACTTTTCACCCAGAAACTCTTCACCCAGAAACTCTTCTTGCGCATACTTTTCACTGCGAAAGCAACGGTTCTATTCCACACTTCCCTCACAAGTTCAATGGTTACTGCAGCTGAAGCAAACGCTGAGCTCTATTTTGTTTCCGGTGCTGTGATATGATCTTAGTTGAGATGCATGTTGCATCACAAAATCAACAACCTTTCATGGATTGACTCGACCAGTCCAGAAAGGTCAAAACGTATTGGCTTCTCGCAAGTGGCAGTAATGGGATAGCGAAAGATACACACAGAAAGCAAAAAACAAAAATGCAGAAGATTTGAATCCCAAAGGAGTACCACATATGAAGCGCTGAGCATGCGAACCTGCTGAATCGTGGTTTGATGGTTTAGTTGAAACAAGACAAAGCAAGCAACAATCTTTGAACATCTGTTGCAAAATGGTTCAAACCCTGGGGATGGCCAGTTCGGACAGGGTGAAACTCGCAGTCCCTCGAGCATAAATCGATAATTTAAGTTGGACAACAGAAAAGGACAAACAGCGTGGATAGATAAAGCTTTAGGAGTGATGATAAAAAGAGAACAGGTCCTCCAGAAAGCTGCTGATTGAACTGTGAGTGAAGTAAGCTTGATCCACAGTTGCGGGGTTGGGACATAAAACAGACATGAACAAGTACATGCACAGTTCTATTCCACACTTCCCTCACAAGTTCAATGGCTACTGCAGTTGAAGCAAATGCTGAGCTCTATTTTGTTTCCGGTGCTGTGATATGATCTTAGTTGAGATGCATGTTGCATCACAAAATCAACAACCTTTCATGGATTGATTCGACCAAATGGAACTGTGAAAGTAGTGCTGATTATGGGGCGCAACTTATTATACCCCAAACGAAGGTGGACCATATCAGCACGGAAACAATCAGGTAGGTTAAGACCATTTAAATTGGATGAAATGAGGATGGATTGATGGGGATGATTTGATCATCCAAAGATCCTGCAAACTGATTCTGACGCGAAATGGGTTGGTGAATTTGGGTGGAAGTGGTGACTGGAAATCCCAGCGGCTTAATTGATCAGCCTCCACATTGTCAGTTCCACTGATGTGGGAGGTGTCCATATCGACATTTAAAATGCTACTAAGCTGGCTAATTTTCTCCAAAAAATAACACAAAGGTTCGCTGGTTGTAAAAGGTTGATTTACCCCACTTTCCGCGGAAGTGTTGTCGCTGACCGTTGGTAGAATGATTCTCATTCTTTGGTGGGGAAATCTTTTGGAAAAAATGAATAGCAAAGCCATCTGAGCTAATGTTTCATAGCAAGCAATGTCCTTCTGTGCCTCATTTCCCATGGGGAGACCAAGTTGCTGAAAGTCACTCACTGCAAATTGTTCAGAAAACCAAAAATATTGTTGACGATCCTCGATGAATCCACCCATTTGCATGGTGGAACCCGTTGCATAAGCATCCACAGCGGAGAAACCTGGCCAGACAGGTTTTGGAAACATCACATAGGTGATAGTGCACATAGCCATTGTTTAAAAAGGTTCAAACATCGCAGGCTACTCCGTTTGTTCGATGAGGGATTGCGTATACGGAGCCAAATTCGTTTTTCAGAAAGTCGTACTTTAGCTAAATCAGATTTATTCGTGACGGATTGGTGTCGAACTGAAACGAGAATACCCCCAATTGGAATGCCAGTGCCGATTGGGGTGGATATGAAGCGCAAGCTGTTGTCCAAGTGATTGGCGAGGTTCGGCCAGGATCCCGGGTCAATGCTGTAATGACGCCGGTGCAGAAAAAAGGTCAGCATAAAAATATTGAAGCAGTGGACGCATACCTTGAAATAGTTGGGTAACCCACATGGCAAGGCCCAAAAAGCGCTCAATATCACGTTTGTGAATGTGTTTCTGTGATTCCAAAGTCTGGATCAGTCGCAGCAGTTTGGAGCGTTTTTGCGGGTCCAGTGAAGCTGTGCCTAAGGAAAAATTGAAACACCAGCCTATCCACGTCACCTCTTTGGCTAGGATGCATTTCTTCCAGCTGATAGGCAGAGCAAAAAGTTGCAGGAGAATTGAAATATATGCAGCTGTAAGAGGAAGAACATCCACCCGTTGTGACATCAAAAAATTGTCAACATAAAGCCACAATGCATGCTTGATATATTTTGCTAAATGCAGAAAGCGGACCAAGAAAGCTCCAATGTGGCCCCACCAATCAGCGCTAAATATGGCGCCAAAGGGGGCAACTCTATAAAAATATAGTTGACCGTCATGGCTGAAACCCAGGAGACCGCGTTCGGAATCTTTGATGACCACTCGCTTGTGTGCTGCCTTCACATCAATGGAAAAGCCACCCAATTCATGTTCATTATCCCGAAGAGGAAAAGTTCGCAGAATGTCTTTAGCGGTGGGCAGCGCTTGATGTTCTCGTACAAAGCAGCTTGAATTGGTACCGCAAATGGAGGAATCAACAACCAAGCGAGGATCTCGGTTCTCCGACATCGCAATGCCTAAACGTCCTACTGCAACTCCTTGTGGCCATCGTTGTTGAGCTTCTTCAATGTCACCAGGAAATGGTTGGCAATGAGTTCAGCCGTCAGTTCTGGGCGGTCTGATGATGATCGCCAGTTGTCCATGTGGATGCTCAATGGCTGTCGATTGGCTTCCAGGTCGTCTTCTTTGACAGAAAAACAGTTAGAAGGTGGGATATCATCAGCAAATCCAGTTGGAACTCCATGTAAAAGACATGGAAAAAGATCTACATCCGCATCGTTCATGAATGTTGAGATCGATTGCATTAAGCCTAAATGCATAGGTTGATGTTCCCTGATGGACCAGTCAGCTGTCAGGCCGTGACTGGTCATCCACTCTTCCAAAATTTGCTTGAATGGTTCCAATTCTTGCGTCGAAAAAGGAGGTGAGGCTTCATGCATATGAAAATTACATAGAATTCGTTTGTGATAGCTGTGGTCAAGAATGAGTTTGAAAAACCTTGCCGAAGAGCACCAAAGATGTCGCCGCTTGCTGTCCGTGGATAGGACCAATCCGGAAATGAAAACAAGCCTCCTCCGTCTTGAAAAGCCTGCGGAGGGTCTGACATGGCCTTTGTCGGAATCATCTGTATGACTTCACTCAGTGTTAAAATCCGTGGCGGGCCAGAGATCATCGGAGCCACAATGTCTGCAAAGGCTTGGGCCAGTGCTGGAGGATATTGCGCTGTGCGTTTGCTCAAGTACGCACCAGTGTCGTCTTTGGTGCCTGCAATGGACATATGGGAGTCCCTTGGGTGTTCACAGATTCCGCACAGTGCTTGAAGCGATTCCAGTGATGAGGCAAAAAGCCATGATTTTGAAAAATCCAGCCCAAATTTACATGCTGGGAGATGTACACAACTGCATCTCGCTTCGCGAAGCCATCCCTGGACAACCTCCTCTTCCCAAGACATTGCATTGGGAGGTTGTTCCAGGTGGCCATGGGATCCGGCGCAAAAACCCACCTGCAAGCATTGGACTCCACGGGAAAGCTGAAGAAAACTGTTTTGCAAGCGTGCTGTTTCGGCACTGTTCAAACCTGGAACTCCTCCAAGATTGAATGGTGTGCGCAAAGGTTTAGGGCCCGGACCCGGATGCAGCTTCAGTCTGGAATATTCGCTGCAGCAGGGTGAACATGCTATGTAAGCAGATTTGCCACTGGCACAAAAACGTAAAAGCTGTTCTGCAAAGTCAATGGAAGAAGTATTTGGCTTGGCTGGAGATTGTCCACCAAGTGCGGTGGCCGTCTTAAGGCAGGCCCACGCCATCGACTACCCGGTCGAGCTGAGGTTGGCGGAGGCCCCACCGACGGTGCCCCAGTCCTTTGCCACTACCCTTGCCTTCTTTGAGAGGGCAGCTGGGGTCGGGCCGGGAATGGCCATTTCGGCCGATGTGGCTTTCAAGAGGGCGTTGGACATGACCAACAAAGAGATGGAGCAGAGGAAGCCTGAAAAGAAACAGGCACCGCTGTTGCCCATCAAGGTGATTGCGTCCATGGAGATGCTGGTCATGAGTGGGGCCAATGCGACCTTCGTCCGCTTTGCGGCCTGGTGCAAGCTGGTCAAGATTTGGACGGCCAGCCGAACCGATGACTTGCAAGGCATCAGTCTGAGGAGCATGAAGTTCACGAAGGCGGGACTTCATGGAGTCTTCTGGAAGACGAAGGTGTCAGGGCCAGGGAAGAAGAACAAGATCCTCCCGTTCATGATCAGCAGGAGGGTTGGAGTGACCGGCCTGCCTTGGCTGGAAACAGGGATGAGCATCTTGGAAGAGAGGTATTGGTAC